CTACGATTCAAATGAGTCGGTGCGTTTAGTTGAATAGTTGAAAAAAAGTGAAGAAGAGCCTTTCAATCAAAACAGAATAATAAACAGAAAACAGGGTTAAATCAGAGCTCAGAACAATCAACGTTGAATGTTGAAGAAAGATTTCTTAACAATTGTAGCTTTAAAATACCGTAAATACTGTAATAGTACCCCATCCCGATGCGGAGTGTTGTGTAGTCTAGTTTTGAACGAGTTTTTCTCGACACTGGTTTATGCTACAATGCGCGCTTAGTTATCAAAAAATAGCTGAAATTCAGGGCTATTTTTTGATACCTAAGCGCGCATTGTAGCATAAACCAGTGTCGAGAAAAACGCTGTCAAAGCTAGACTACACAACACTCCGCACCGTCATTATCTTTGGTATCAAAAAAATAGCTGAAATTCAGGGCTATTTTTTGATACCAAAGACGCATTTTTTGAAAGTACGGGCGCTTTGAAATGAAATACTAAAAAACTTTTGCGACTACGCGACTGTACGATGGGGAATGGGGTACACAGTATTTACGGTAAGTGCCTTTTAGGTATACTTTGTACTCTTGTAAACAAATTCGTATACAATTGAAAAATATTGGGAATAAGTTATGTTCAGAGTAAAGTTATAAGTTTGAAAGTTTCAAATTTTAACTCTCTGAAAACAAAATACGTTAATTAACTCGCAAAAAGTTTTAAAAACAATATTGAATTGATTGAAAGATCAAAAAAGAACCATCTCCCGTAAACAAGGAGGAATCATCGAGAGTCAATGCTTTAAGTCCAATCCTTTCAACCGATTCCCCAAAAAAAAAGCTCCTTTCGGTGATTTCTCTTCCTACTTTCCTTCCCATTTTCCTCTGCAACAGCTGTGCGTTCCCTTGTTTTTTTTTCGATTCAATCACCTTTCTCTAATTTCTCCCATTCCACTGTTCTCTTTTGATTTTTCGGCCGATTGAGGCTCAATCTTTTTTCTTCGATTCATTGATCTTGCTTAAAAGATTGGAAATAAGAAAGGAATTTTTAAGTTAACTGTTAAATTGTGAATAAAAGCCAAAGAAAGGTAATAAAGGGTTTATCCCAAAACAGCGCCGCCAAAATAGCGCCGACCAAAACAGCGCCACCCAAAATAGCGCCGTACCCAAAACAGCGCCAATGAAAAACGCCCAAAATAGCGCCGTACCCAAAACAGCGCCAATGAAAAACGCCCAAAACAGCGCCGATGCAAAACAAGGTTTTTTTCTTTTACAATGTACACTCATTTTTTTTATTAGCAGCTTTTAATTTTGATAATTTATTTAAAAATAACATGACCAACAACAATAAACGATAACAATTAAACGATGCATAAAAAAACATAAAAATAGCATCAAATTAATCGTCCAAGAGACTCTGAAACATCATAACACTAGCGATGATGAACATAAACGGCTAGAGCTTTCAAGTGATCCGTAGTAGAAATAAAAGTTAGCGAAAACGTTAAAAAACAGGCCGTAAAAGGAAAAAAAATTGTTATTTTTGGTTAAAATCAATTTTATAAACGCTATCGCAGGTTTCTATGCGTAAAGCTTAAAAAAATCGGATTCTCCGCCTTTTTTTTACCCTAAAAACACAAAAAGTGGGCAGAAAAAGTTAAAAACAGCAAAGAAAAAGCAAAAGCAAAAATCTAAAAAATAATTTTTTTTTGCTCGTCGCTGTTTTGGGCGTTTTTGCATTGGCGCTGTTTTGGGTGGCGCTGTTTTGGGTACGGCGCTGTTTTGGCGGCGCTGTTTTGGGATAGACCCGTAATAAAAGCTGTAACTTTAGTCATTCTTGAATACTTTTAAATAGTGATAGCAAGAAGAAAAAGATCTTTTGATAGACTCAGAGAAAAATTTTCTTAGTTAGAAAACGGATAAAAATGGAAGCCTGCCGGATTGGGATCATTTGAGGGTCTGAAAAATGTGCTACAAAACTCTAATCAAAGATCTTTTCGTCCAGAAATGTAGGCAAAAACTCAGGCTTCAATTCTTCAATCCTCTAAATGTCAATTCTATAGTGAGGGTGCAGATTTGAATTGAATATGTGTGTATTGTACAAAATCCCTCAATCTCCTTATCCATGTTGTTTTGTTCTGTTGGAAAGCTATATAAAAGGCAGAACTTTCATTAGATTCAATATTTTTCTCAAAATGACTTCAATTCTTTTCACGTTGATTTGCATGACGGTGCTGGCTGTTTTGGCTGCGCTCAGAAACGGTAGAAATATTAAGTACCGCATTTTCTCTAATAGTAGTGAACCCAGAGCATTGCTTAAATTACTCGAAATCTCGAGAACCGCTTATCAGAACCTATCGATGTGGGGTCGGAAAATGTAGCTGACGATGAGATCTTGTGGGGGATTTGAGTGTTGAGCTTCTGTGAAAACTTTGAAAGCCGTAAAATAGTCACCAACTCGGCTCGGTGCGGTGCACTACTATTAGAGAAAATACGGCATTTATGAATGTACCAGAAGGGTCGAAATGTTTAATTTATAACTTTTATTGCTTCAAATTTACATTTCACTATTGTTTTTTTAGTTATCAGCAGGGATAAAGAAAAAGTCAAAAGCTATATTTATGACCAGAACTAGAAATAAACTCTTAGACTTGAATTTATTTATTTTCTGTGGAGTACAAGAACTTTCTAGAGAAATCAAAAATATCTACACAACAATTATTCAAGCAAATCTTTATTTGCGACACAGAATATTCTTTCAAATTCTATTTCATTGGAAGAGGGCTCATTGTTGTGTACTCGACGATCATCGGATCAGGAAGTGGGGGACAATAGCAGGGGCTTGTTGAAGAAGATTCATCAGGAAGTCTCATTCCTGGATGCGGACACATGGACAATGGACATGGCTGAATTGATGGATCAGTGATCGATCCATCAATTGAATTTGTGACAATCGGATCGATGACGATCGAATCGGTGACGATCGGATCGATAAAAATCGAATCGGTGACAATTGAGGATGTGCTTGGCGTGATTTGACGACCTAAAGCTTCTATAATCTTATGTAAAAGCAAAAAAGAAGTTAGTTTTCGGGAACGAATCTAAGAATTTTCTTGAGTTTTGTGATTTAAAACTAGAGTGTTTTGCTCGCGAGTAATTTTTTACTCGAGTAATAGCTCGAGTAATTGTCGAGTAATGCGTTTTCTAAAAAGTGCGCCTGCGCGAAAAAAATCTAAAAGCAATTTTTTGCGCAGGTTTTGGGGGTGGGACAAATGCGACCTTTTTTTTGCGCACCTGGACATTTGCGCACCTTTTTTTTTGCTGGAAAAGGCCTTAGGAAAGGTCGTAGAGCTTCAAAAATGTTCCTAGAAGGGAATCGTATACGTAGATTCCGAATTTCGACAAATCAGACCTCGCTGACACGTCAAATTTGGGCTAAAAAGGCAAAAACTAGGCAACTTAACGCTTTTCCGCAGTTTTTGCCTTTTAGCCCAAATTTGACGTGTCAACGAGGTCTGATTTGACGAAATTCAGAATCTACGCATACGATTCCCTTGTCTGGAGATATTTTTGAAGCTCTACGGCCTTGCCTAAGCAAAAACAGCAAAAAAAGGTGCGCAAATGTCCAGATGCGCAAAAAAAAGGTCGAATTTGTCCCACCCCCGGTTTTTCAAAAAAAAAATTATTTTTTACACTGGGAGGGATTTCCCACCAAATCAGTTAAACGGCTGAGTATCTTTAAAAAGTGTCGTATAAAATGCGGGGCTCGTCATTTTTGCGTCATTTTTTCATCATAATTTTTTTGCTAAAAGTACGGTAATTTTTTTCCAAATGTGCGTTTTTAAAAAACGCATTATTCGCGAGGAACTATACATTTCGAGTGTCCCCCCCCTGTGTCCCCCTTTTGCCCCCCAAGTGTCCCCTTTTTGTCCCCCTAAAGTGTCCCCCCCTAGTATCCCCCGATTTTTTTTCATATCAAATCACAACTTTTTGCTCTCCAAGGAAAAGAAACGAAAAGACTTTCTGGACAGCCTAATATTCACGAGGCTTGCTAATGTTTGCTTGTTTAAGCAAACATTAGCAAGTTTAAGCTTGCTTGTTTGCTTGTTTAAAGTTAAAGCACATTTGGAGAGCAAAAAGTTGTGATTTGATATGAGAAAAAATATGGGGATACTAGGGGGGGGGACACTTTAGGGGGACAAAAAGGGGACACTTAGGGGGGCTAAAGGGGGACACTCGAAATGTATACGAGGAACACTCTAATGCTAAAAGAATATCAATGATCTTTTATTTTCCTACTTTCTCAGTTTAACATCTCGATGAATGACGCCCATTTTTTTTAAGAAACAAAGAGTTGCTCAACCCACCAAAGAGCCGTTCTCATCGAGTAGATAAATTTTGGAACATACTCTATTTAAAACCAAGTCAGCTAAATCAAGTTTGCTTTGGTAAAAAAAGCCTATTGGTTTTTCTCCATAACTCAAAGATAAAATAATAGTGAAATGTGATTTTAAGTGATAACTAAGCAATAAAATCTATAAATCAAACATTTCTACCGTTTCTTGGCGCAGTCAAAACAGCCGGTACCGTCAAGCAGATTAACGTGAAAAGAATTGAAGTCATTTTTAAGAAAAATTTATTGAATCTAATGAAATTTCTGTCTTTTATATAGCTTTTAAACAGAAAACATTCAAAATTTGTTATTCTAATTATTGTTTTGCCTGTGGCTGAAAGAAAAATCTTATTTAAAAATTTGAAAAACAAAACGATGACTAAACTTTGTTAACAATTGAAAAACAGATTTTTAAGGAAAGAATTTCGTAACTCGAAATAGGAAAAATTGTCAAAAATAATGACTATTTCAGAATACAAGGTTTATCGATAGCCAGACACTGAGAGCAGTACAATGCACCGAATTTCAGCTGATTTCTGCCCCCTCAACTATAGACTGATCGATGAAGTAGGACAAGTCGATCAAGAGCAGTACAATGCACCGAATTTCAGCTCATTTCTGCACCCTCACTATAGACTGATCCATGAAATAGGACAAGTCGATCGAGCACAAGTTTTCACCGGCTCATCTCTGAAATACTCTTGCTTTATAGCTTCCTATATGCTATCTTTCTTTTTTTTTCTTTTCTCTTTCCCCATTACCCTAGCATATCCGTTCTCTCTCCAATTTGTGCCCCACGAGTTTCTCACAATCCAATACGGTCAATCATCTTGCACTCCTGAAAGTCATAGAGATACAAGTTTTAGAGAATTCTTCAGAATTTCTGTTGGCTAGACGTGTGGTGAACTTTAGAAAAAATATTTGTTTTTCATGATCCAATACAGCTAGTCATCAGAAAATATTTGTCTTTTTGAAATATAAAAAAAATCGGCAAGGCAACAGTATTTCAGTTTTCTTAGTTTAAAAAAAAAAACTAACATTTTCTCTAAAGTTCAATGTTTTTTTCACTTTAAAAATAAAAAGTACAAAAAAAAGATTAGTGGTGATGACTAGATCTATCGATATTATCGATATTATTCATAATATCGCTTATCGATACAAACGGCATGCTCATATTTGACCGTTTAGATCCGGGTTTCTAGAACAGCTATAAAGCTGGAAATTGTTTCATTAGAAAGCCAAGAATGCCAGCTTTTGATTTCTATCTCACACATAGCAAATTCTCATAGGCGAGTGCCTTAAAAAGCTTATCAATACTTATCGATACTCAAATATTGATAAGTTTATCGATAATCGATACTTTCGATATCGATAAGTATCGATAAGGGTTATGAGATGCATTAAAAGTTGCTATGTATAAAATAGTAATCAAAAGCTGACATTCTTTTCAATAAAACAATTTCCAGCTGTTCTAGAAACTGATAAGGGAAGGTCAACTGGCTGAGCCGGCCAAATCCAAAAGTCGCATAGACCATACAACGCAGAATTTTATGCTGGTCTATATGTATTCCGTTTTTCTTAGATGACAATCTACCGGGAGTTATAAGAGCCTAAAGTTTTGCTAGGACTCTGAAAATGTGGTCACTTGGGTCTTAGCGGCCTCCTTCGGTGCAGCCGTGGCAGAGTGGTAGGACATTCGTTTCCAGAGCGAGATCTCACAAGTTCGGTCCCCGCTCTCGTTTTTTCTTTTGCTTTCTTTCAAGAAGTGCTCAAGTTTTACGGCTAAAGAGGAAATGTGTATAGAATTAGGCTTTCAATGATTCCAATTCGAAGTTCACCTCGGTGATCGAATGAGCAATAATAGTTTGGTTTATATTCATGGTTTATGTTTTGAATGTTCACCAAATGATCAGTAAAACGATTAGGCGACTAGGGGATTTGACCGGCAAAATGCCATCATCGTCACGAATGTGTTAAATCAGTGAAATAGTTGTAAAATACCAAAATTGTAAATGCTTCAAGATAAGATTTTAAACGAACCGAATACCCAACTTTAGAGATCCTTTAAAGCTCCTTTAAAGCTCCTTTAAAGCTCCTTTAAAGCTCCTTTAAAGCTCCTTTAAAGCTCCTTTAAAGCTCCTTGAAAGCTCCTTTATAGTTCCTATTTAGTTCCTTAAAAGCTCCTTTAAAGCTCCTTGAAAGCTCCTTTATAGTTCCTTTAAAGCTCCTTTATAGTTCCTATTTAGTTCCTTAAAAGCTCCTTTAGAGCTCCTTGAAAGCTCCTTTATAGTTCCTTTAAAGCTCCTTTATAGTTCCTATTTAGTTCCTTAAAAGCTCCTTTAGAGCTCCTTGAAAGCTCCTTTATAGTTCCTTTAAAGCTCCTTTATAGTTCCTATTTAGTTCCTTAAAAGCTCCTTTAGAGCTCCTTGAAAGCTCCTTTATAGTTCCTTTAAAGCTCCTTTATAGTTCCTATTTAGTTCCTTAAAAGCTCCTTGAAAGCTCCTTTATAGTTCCTTTTTAGTTCCTTAAAAGCTCCTTGAAAGCTCCTTGAAAGCTCCTTGAAAGCTCCTTTATAGTTCCTTTAAAGCTCCTTTATAGTTCCTTTAAAGCTCCTTAAAACAGGAATCCCGTCGATTCTTTCTTCCACTAATACCACTTGTTAAATTTGTACACCTAAGTCGATACCATATCCTCAATTTTTTTTGCTTTTTATTTGTTTTTGCTTTTTTTCACTTTTTCTATTGCTATTTATGCTTGTTTGATGAAAAAATTCTTCAAATTCTTCAAATTATCAAAGCAAAAACATTTTCAAATGAATTTACTTCAAAAAAAGGCCAGTGTTTACATTTATTTACATGATTAAAGCAAGCAAATGAAACTTTCAAAGTTTATAATCGGCAAACATTGTACAAGTGTTTTGACGACGTCTTCGACGGCGATCACTTTTCCCGTTTTTCTCATTTTTCTCATTTTTACATCGTTTCTCTTTGATCACTTTTGGGATTGACAACTCGAGAAGACACTCATCGACCTCTTCGGGATCCCAAAAATTGTTATCATTTGCGTCACGGAGTCGAAAAACGTTAATAGCATCCGTTTGATTGATCCCCTGTTCTTTGCGGACTTCTTCGAAAGAAAGTCTTCCGTCCAGATTTCGATCAGAACCCGCAAATGCTAAGGCGATCATTTGACAACGAGTTGAATTGGAGTTTGAATTGAACTGATCGCCCTCGTCGATCGATCTCTTGCCCACCAGTGCACCTAGACATCCAGCGGCGCCATTTCTCCATGACGCTCCATTTGCCCACATGTTTATCGTGGCTCCGCCAGCACACCGAGCAGCCGGCACCACCCACCACCAACGCTTTTGACGAGTTCTCTTCGGCGTTGACTCTTGAATCGACTCAAATTCTACGGCAGCTATCAAATAGATGTGATTCTCTGACGTTGCAGAAGACTCTATTGCAGCATTTGCCTGAAAATTTTTGATAAGCGGCAGGGTTGGCTCATAGCCAGGATTTCGATGGTTTTGGGAGAAAATTTAAGAGGGAGAGGTTTTAGACTCTTAGCCGTTATCCAGGAAACTTCTAACCCCCCACCAATCGATTTTATTTCGTTTAAGTAAAATAGTTGTAAGTGCTTCAAGATAAGATTCGAAACGAGCCGAATACCAAACCTCGGGAATCCCGTCGATTCTTTCTTCCACGAATCCCATTGTCAACTGGAGTAGCAGCAGAAAGGCATAGAATAGCATTTTTCTTGATAGAAATCAATTTTTAGCTGTTAAATTTCAAGCCTAACACGACCCTTTTATATCGCATCTTTATTTGCGCAACCGACTAATGAAAACCTGAATGAAGACGAGATTTGTACGAATGTGCAATGGTTTAAAGGTCATTTTCATGTAATAAGTACAGTCGACGCTCGATAATAAATCTTTGATGGATTTGATTCAATGAATTCGCTTATTACATGAAAATGACCTTTAAACCATTTCCCATTTCCGAGAGCTCGTAAAGAAGGCCGATGAGTGCCGATTTGACTCAGAAGTTATCCATTAGAAAGTTTTACGGCTAAAGAGGAAATGTTTATATGTATAGAATTGCGCTTTCAATGATTCCAAGTCGAAGTTCACCACTTGCGCTAAGCCGAAAAGTTTCAGAAGCAAGGGTTTTCTTCGAATCAAACAATAAATCTGTTGAAATTTCGAGAATTTTTCAAATTGTCTGTGAATGCCGATTTTGATGTTTATTTTGAAGGATTGTTATTTACAGAGTTATTTACAGATTTCGATGACGATTAGCTTCTTTTACAGACGACGTACGGCCATTCGTCCTCGTCATTCAACATCGTGAGACCCCAATCGCCGCGAGCACAACGATCTCCATCACACAGATTTGTGTTCTCAATCTAAATGGGAATGTTGACGAAAGCGGCTTGTAAATAGAGGTACTCAGGATGTCATGGAACAAATTTGCTAAAGAAACTGATTCCTAGCCTTCGGTGTCACAAGATCATTCAAATCTACTCACAATTACGAGTTGATTGGGATCATATGGATCTCCGAAGCATTGTTGATGCTGATAATCGCTTTGACTTCCGTCAGTCCACGTTAAGACCCCATTTGGCTGAATTTAAACAAAATATCAATATTTATCTCCATTGACTCACAAATGTTCCACCAGTCAGATAGATTCCAGCAAATAGATCATTGTGATCGGTATCATCGCAAGCCGATTCGCAGCAGAGCTCTGAATTGAGAGAAAACTGAGAGACTTTGAATGGAAAAGTTGACTCGTAATAAAGTCGTTCTCGGCTGAGCTTTGAATCGATGCCAAATGAGCTCCATATGATCGACACGCCGTTTCTCCATCGTCGTATGTCATGTCGAATAGCACCTATGAGAATAGTCTTTCAACTATGCAGATTGCAGGAAAGTAGTTAGAATTCTTTTCATAGCAAAATTCGCATTACCTCTAGCTTAGTGTAATTCAATAAGCTGATAACAGCCACCTCACGGCGGCTCTTATCAGCGGCTCAACGTTGGTTTATCACCCAAGGTCTTCTACCCAGCCCAAAGTTCGTTTGTTTCAATAAAAAAGTCTGAAGAACTCTCCCAAGAGTCGAACCCAAGCCCCTTCACTTTCGGAGCGGCCCTAGAGACAAGGGCGCTAACCACTTGGCCATGCCGCCCTTTTGTTGGGGGTCGAGGCGAACGAGGTAATAAATGCTCGCGACGCAAAAAGGCCTCGATGCCTCAATGAGGTGAGGCCTCGATTTTAACTTAGAATTTCTCAGGGTACAATTTTAGAAAAAAATCGCTGATATCTGAAGAACCATGTAATAGTGATCCGAGAAATATTGCCATCCTTTGACACAGTTGTAAAGTGGTTGTCGATTTGCTGAACTAGTCTCGAAATTCTATGAACTAGTGAGCAATACCCACCAGGAAGACAAGTTAAATTATTCATTGCTGAGGTGATCTGAGCTGCTGTTGAGCTCAACGTTCTGCTTGTGGATTGAGTGATCGGTTGAGGAGTTGTAGTGCTGGCGACTGGTTGAGCAGCACACAAATATGTGAGATTTCGAGAGCACGGAGTCAATTTCCACATTTGATCCCTTGAATCCAAAAGAACACAGTCGCCGGACTCACCTGAATGAAGTTCATAACCAAGAAAAGCTGATGACCAATAACTCAGAGCTGATTGCCTGAAAACTGAAAAGCTCTAAAGTTCTCTTAAGTAAAAGCATCTTAAGTATTCTATTGAATGTAATTCTGGAATTAGTTGAAATTTTAAATCTTGACTTTTGTTAAACTATTAGGTTGATGAGTTGAAAACTGCCGGGCTTTGAACTAAAATTTATTCAACATAAAACCATCAATTCATTCCAAATAATTTCCATTATTATTGATGACTTCTGTCCATTTTACAGGCAATTTGCGGATTCCTCTTTCGTAGTAGGATTTTGGTTTTGAATCGAAAAACTTTCAAAGTCAATTTTTGACTTTGAATCGAATCGAAGTGTTCCCCCGCAACTCATGCTCCGGAATAAATAGTAATCAAAAGGGGAGAGGCCCGGACTGTATGGGGAATGCGCCAAAAGTTCCCAAACAAGGCTATTTATTTTAGAGCGAGTCAGTTTTGCAACATGAGGGCGCGCGTTGTCGTGAAGGAGAACAATCTTTGGCTTGAAGGGTCTATTCTTCTTCAGGGATTCATTCACCTTTCCCAACTGTTCACTTTATTTGATTGCATTAAGGGTCGTCTTGCTATCCAGCGACTCCCAGTATAAGTGTGTGAGGCAAGTGTGAGACTCAAAAATGGAGGACTGGAGATGTCCCAGTTTGCCAGTTTGCACTTTCTTCAAAAGAAACCCATTTTGGTGTCAGAAAAGTTGTAGAGAATCAAAAATTAGGCTTATAGCCAAATTTCCAAAAAGATACACTCAGTAGTTTCGCTTAAAATGCAAATTTTGTGAAAATTCGTAAATTTGGCATTTCTTGAAAACCAGTTTTTGAATCGTTCTGAAAATTTGGATATAAGCTTGATTTTTGATTCTCTACAACTTTTCCATTGACACCAAAATGGGTTTCTTTTGAAGAAAGTGCTCAAACTGTCACATATGACAATAGCCCGCAGTTTTCGATTCACCAACCTAAAAGCCAAAGTAATTGTTTTAAAGTCACAGATTAAATTAACTGATAGAGAAATAATTGTGGCCTCGTTTTAATTCTTTAATTTCTTTTCCAACATCAAGAATCTACTTGAGTGCTGAAGTTTTTGATAATCAAAAACCGATCCATCACTCCAATTAAAAACTCCATTCGAGATTTGCTTGGCGCCCAAATAGTTGAGAAAATTACCAGTCAAATCTGAAATCTTCTTTCTTTTTTTATCATTCAACTGTAAGTCACTCATTTGCAGTTGAGCAAAAAGGGAATTCTGAAAGGCGTTGTGAATCGACGGCAAATGGCCACCGAACTCTCCAGAACACAGAAATTCGGCTGTTTTCCAGTCGGCTGGAAAAATCATTCATTATTTTTCTATTTTAACACACCCGCAACAAGACCATTTTTCCCTAAAATATCGATCCGGGGGTATCACACCCAGGAAAAATTATTGATCAGAAGAAGAAAGCTACTTCAGAGATGCGATTGAGGCAGCTAACCGCAGCAATTCACAAGATACACAATTCTACTCTCTTTGAAGCCTAATTAAGTGATTTTTTTTGACTTTATAAGATCTCTGGCTTCATTTTAAGCCCAAAAATGGTATAGAAATATGGAGAAATAAATAGTGATTGTCAATTTTTATTTCATAAATAGTGATTTCACGGATTTTCTGAAATTTTTCGATTTTGGAGTTAAAAAGTGTGCAGATTGGGGGAAACAAATTTGATTGCGATTTATCATAAAGATAGGGAAAACTCAAAGACAATTTTGACCGCAAAATGTAGCCCAATCTAATTAAATTCCGGTAGTGAGGTACGAGGCATGCCTAATTGCGGAATATGCGATCAAGGGAAGTCCTCCAGGTCGGCATCTGGGATTGAGCTGAAACCAATTATGGAATCGACGACGATCACGAATATGGATATAACTTTTGGCCTCGTTCGTCCGTTCGATTGTCCGTTCGATATTTGGAAGTTTTAGCACTTACCTTATAAAGTCGCTCACGCATTTGAGGAAAGTGCGGCTGCGGTCGAGTGGATAAACCTCTTGTATCAGGCGATACCTTGTTTTACCACTGGTTCGAATCTTTTTGCTGCAAAGCCTTTTGTTTTTTTCTCTTTTTTTGCTATGATTCTTTGAGTTTAAACTATTAGTGGTATACATTTTCTGAAAGCTCTTTTTAAGGGCTACACAATGGTAATATTAATATTTAGAAATACGGTAAAGACAAGGGAGTTACAGACGCGCGAAAGTGACGATCGAAAGTGACGAAGGAGAACGAGAGTGGAATGCCCGGATGGCCTAGTAAGGAGGGGATTGAGGCATAATCTATTAAGGGGTTCAGTAGAATGGAGAAAAGTGGAGTGATTTCTTGAGAAGCGTCACACGGACAAGTGGGCTTTAGGCCATTATCCTCATTTACTTGTTTTCTATGCAATACTTAATCTTGAAATAAACTTTAGCTGGTAAATGGATTGGTTTGAAAATCAGGTAAGGAGTAAACTAGTGTTGTTGATTCGAGAAGCTCAGAGTTTCAAGCTAGGCTAGGGTTAGACTAAGTGGGTCGAACCTTGTCCTTTTTCAAATAATCCCATCTGAAAAATGCATTTATTATTAGAATCATAGCAAAAAAGAGAAAAAAACAAAAGGCTTTGCAGCAAAAGGATTCGAACCATCGGCAAAACAATGGAGGTAACGCCTGATACAAGGCGTTTATCCACTCGACCACAGCTGCACCGTCCTCAAACGCGTGAGCGACTTTATAAGGTAAGTGCTAAAACTTTCGTACCAAATATCTTGCGTTTGGGCGAACGAAGGCAAATGTTGTATAGATATTCGTGACCAGCATGGTCAATTCTATAAGATCCATTTGGTCTCAGCTCAATCCCAGATGCCAACCTGAAACCTGCCAACCCAACCAGATCCCAACCAAGACTTCCTTTGTGAAAACAAAAGCTAAAAGTTATTTCGTGGATTGACACAAACCTTGGCTATTCAGCCGCACAATGCAAAGATTCAGATCACTTTGATAGAAAAAATACTTTGGACAAATCGGATCGTCAGCCGAAAGGAATGTAAAAAGTAGAAACGGCAAGAAAAACATTGTTTACTTCTTTGGGTAAACGGCTCTTTTTGAGTAGTTTTTTTTCCACGAGACGCTTTATCTTTCTTTCTTTCTTTCTTTCTTCGCGTCATTTACGATCAAAAGCTTTGCAAACTGAAAATCCATTTCAATAATTGATCTCGGTTTTCCAGGAAGAAAAACCTCATTAGGAAAGTTCTCGAGTTCGTAGAATATTATTCAGAACTCAACCCTGAAAAAAAAATAGTTAAAAACCGAATTTCACTCTTAAAGAAAACTGTTTTGGACTTGATTTTTGGTATAGAATTAGATAAAAATGTTGAAAATATGATGAGATACAAGCTATAAAAGTTCATCCACATTTCTTATGCATTTACCTAATACGCTAAAGTCTCGAGTATAAGTTCATATAAGTTCTGCCTTAATTTACATTCGCTTGAATTGCTTTGAATTTCTTTTTGTTGGGTTTTTATACATTTTTATTGTTATATAAACTTTTATTATTGTTCTTGGAGCGCGGGATACTAGCATATCACCATTGCTGGCGTGACAGCCTATCACCATTGCTATTTGTTATGTGCATGGATACATCCAGACGATAGTGTTGAAGAAGACGCTGGAAAGCATCTCTTTCGACCGTCGACGTGGACTTTGGCCGGATGAAGAGGCCAGGGAGGGATCCATAAGACTGAGCACTGGAGAGGAGCAGGGCGGACACGCCGAGCCACGCCTGGAGCAACAAATAACAGCATAAAATTGCTATAACCCTCAATAAATTTACTTCTATTATTGTTCTTAAAAAGCAAAAAAAGCTGCAGCGGGGTTCGAACCCTCGACACACCGCACCGGAGACAGCCGTCAATTTGCATGCGAAAACCAAACAGAACTTATACTCGCGACTTTAGGGTAGTTAGAAAACAGATAAAAATGGAAGCCTGCCGGATTGGGATCATTTGAGGGTCTGAAAAATGTGCTGCAAAACTCTAATCAAAGATCTTTTCGTACAGAAATGTAGGCAAGGATTCAGGCTTCACCTCTCTATATAACACTTAGGGTTTTTTGAACTTGATTGCGGCGTTTGGCAATCCAATCTGCTGAGAAGGTGTAACCGTAATTTTGGCTCACCCTGTAACATTTATTTCTAGTTTTAAGTGAACTAACTACTTTACATTTAAAATGCTTTAACATTGGATTAGTGGATTTAAAAGAAATTCAAAGAAATTCAAAGAAATTTGTAAGTAGCTTAGGACCACTGATAAATATAGTAATTCACGGAATTTCTCGATTTCAGCTCAATTCTTCAACATGACGTGCTCCGAATCGACGTTTTGTTTCTCGTTCAATGCCGGGAATCAATGTTATTCCGACATTCTGTGCCACGATATTGGAATCGCACTGTTTATTTGACCCACAAAAAGTTGAGAGCTCTAAAAATGCAGTCTCCTGACAATTGGAACTTTTTCAGATGTCAAAACTACAAGAGAACACGACCATTCAACTTGTTTGCGCCAAAACGCCAAAACTTGTGAATTCTGTCCAGTTATTGTCTTCTTTTTTGTCTTTTCTTTAGTTTTTAAATGTAATAAAAAGATTAATTGATGGAAATTTCTTTAAAAGATGTATGTTTGAGTCAAAAGAATGATGAAAAAGATTAAAAGTATAAAGTCTTTGGCTAGCGGGAAGAATTCACCTCCCCACCACTCTGTTCAAGATAGAACATTTATCAGAATGACTATTATAACTTGTCAAAGTTTGTATTTAAAGTTCAGAATATTTGGTAAATGAACTCACCAGCTTTCACAAAAAAAGTTATACTTTTTTCTAGAAAAAAGTGGAGAGTATTACCTGTATATCTTAGAGTATCATTAATCAGTCTAATGGCTTCAAAAGTTAGTTTATCTTCACTCACTTCAAGCTAAGACATTGCTTGAAACTGGAAAAGCTTGTGTTTTGCACTTCTGGCTGAGGAGATGGTAATAAGACTATTCTAGTTCTGCCTATTTTACGACGGAGTCCCATCGAGATTTGGTCAAAGCCTTTGGGAATGATGTATTGTCCGAAAACCGATGCCGAGCCTGGTTCCAACGCTTTCAGAATGGTGATGAAAGTCTCGAGGATCATGAACTCATCGACCTCAAGCGGTAGACAACGATATTTTGAGGGCTGCAATCGAATAGATGTCAAACGACGCGTGAACTTGCTCAACAGTTCCTATATTCAAATTCTACCATTGATGAGCATCTCCACGCCATTGGAAAGGCGATCAGATACGGGAAATGGCTTCCTCACGAGTTAAGCAGTGCAAACGCTCGTTTATATCCGAACAACCTAATAGTTTTGT